AAGACTCAGACTCAACCGAAGACGCAAGAGAAGAATTTAGAGACTCACCAGACACAGAAGACGACACAGAAGACGGAACAGAAGACCCTTCCATGGACGACGCAGAACTGGAATTGGTACCTGCAGAAACTGTTGGAGAAGAAGCGGAACTAGGAACAGACGAATCGGAATTTAATGATGAAGTAGACATGGAACCAGTTAGAGGAACAGATGCTGCAATCGGTAGAGTAGAACTAGGAGCCCTAGAATCTTGAATACCCATACCCGACAATGACCCAATATCAGATTGAGAATGATGTTTATTATTTGACAAAAACGGTACCGTTTCAGATAAAGGCCCATAATGAATATTGTACCAAGCACCAGTAACTTCACAAAGATCACGAAAACAATGTTGCCCAGGAAACTTATTCTCAACAAAATAAACATGCCGAGATACATAAACTCGACTTGTGGTGGGTTCCATACATAAATAAGCACTCTGGTTTAATGAGTATCCTATAAAAATACAAGGTTTTGACTTTTGTTCGAATTTATTTTTATTATAAGGCTTAAGAAAGGGATAGCAGAGGCATCCAAATACTTTTAACTTAGTATAATTTGGATCTTTAATCCTATAAAAATACAAGGTTTTGACTTTTGTTCGAATTTATTTTTATTATAAGGCTTAAGAAAGGGATAGCAGAGGCATCCAAATACTTTTAACTTAGTATAATTTGGATCTTTATTAAAAAGTTTAGAAAAAGGAGAGGTCATTTGTAAAATAAGTGTAGGCAACTGATTAATCAAATACGTTGCTGCTAAAAACGCATACGACCAAAATTTGTAGGGTACAGAAGCAGATTGAAGAAGAGTTAGACCTGTTTCTACCAAATGACGATGACGACGCTCTGCGGTACCATTGTGCTGTGGCGTATGAGGAGGTGTTTGTAAGTGTTGAATTCCATTGTCTCGGAAAATTGTTTTGAGAGCAAGGAACTCACCACCACCATCAGTATACACAGAACCTATTTTGGTTGGAAACATATTTTCAACTAATTTTTGAAACGCTGGAAAAATTAGAGCAACATCAGATTTAGCACGAGTAGGATAGAACCAAACATACTTAGTATAATGATCAATAATTATCAAATAGTACTTGAAACCATCAATAGATTCAACTGGGGCGGGCCCCCACAAATCCGAATATAATAGTTCCAAAGGACGAGAACTAGAAAGAGTAGAAGTTCCAAATGCGAGTCTATGACTCTTATTACACCGACATGAATTGCAATCAATAGAAACATTAGAAAATTTAGACAAATGAAAGAGAGAGGTAGGAAGTTCCGAGGAATGCGAGTCGTATGACTCGCTTAGTTACGAGCGAGGGCAGATGGAGATTGCTGAAGATCGAGAAGGTAGGAAGAGGAGTTAGAAAATTTAGACAATGAAATCGAAGACAAAATGTTGGAGCGTACCACGACTGTTAGGGAGAGGTGGCCTAATCGCTGATGCAGAGCAAGAGAGAAATACACAGAACAAACAAAAACCATATATGGTCAGGAATTGAAGAACGAACGATCACTTGATAACGAAGCAAACGATATTCATTAGAAATTCTTAAATTTGCCCGCCTTGTGATGAATCCCATTGCGCGTTGGTCGTAACGTCTCATGTTTGTTGTAGATCCTGAGGATTACTATTAATAACAATCGAGAAGATAAAACAATACCATATAGAGACAACTTGATTAGCATAAACAGAATTCAGTTAAATCTCATTGACTCAAAGAGTATTTATTCTTCACTTTAGATTTCTGCTTAGTGTAATGAGTCATTATACTTATACAATTTTAGTTAAGAAGCAAGACTTTTTGAGGGAAGAGGAAAGCACCCGAGAGACAACACCAATGAGATTATTGGCTCTTGCATACTGAACCATCCATCTGTGTAGCAGAGTGAAAGCTAGATATAACAGAATCAATAAAAACTGGAGTTCATAGCATTCACAGATAAATTCTGTAAATCATTAGTAACATGATTCGTAGCTCCAGTGGTTTCCAACCCCAAATCTAATAAATTCGACAGACTCTCGTTATCATTTTTAAAATTACAACAAGAAAAAAAAAGCCAACTAAAGATCCACACAGGTTTGAACATCTAAGATATGCTGCTACATTGATTTAGCTGCTTCCGCGGTGGTGGTCTAGGAAACACTTATTCTTGAAGAAGCTCGCATATAAGGAACCGTAACAATCAAAGTTTCTATAGCTTGTTGAACCATGGTCTCGGCTGGGTATCACAAAATATTTAGAATTCACAATTGAACCTTTAGAGGTCCTACGTCCATATTCTATATATTTCTTGCGCATTATTTGGCTGAGTATTACCTCGAGAGCTTTGAAGTTTCCTTGAATTATCCCAGTAACCTTCTCTCTTCAACCCCTATCCGACGAGCCCAGCATGATGGATCTAGCGGCCCAGCCAGCAACCTCAAGAGTTCTTTCGAACATGTTGGCTACAACAAGTGCCTCCAAAAAGGACTATCAAGCCGAAATCAAATTTTCTCGTATACATTATTATCCTTTCATATGTATGCGAATTCAGAAAGCCCGGGATCCTGGGAGGAAGTGCAATCTACGGTCTAAAAAAGTACAAATGATTAATTCTAGACTGTTGCTTAAACGAATCGCTAGGACAGCAAATATTCTTGCAAATTGATTTCAGGCCAATTGTCCATTTTTATACGTATTGCTAAGGTTGGAAAAATAAATCAGGGATCAAAGAATCTCCTGGCATGTCTGTCCGGAGAGCACATTTCACGGCTAGCTATTTTCGAACACAAGTTGTTGCTCTAAGAGATAAAGAAATGCCTCGTAAGTACACATGCCTCGAATTTAATTAGATTTGCTGAAGGCATCGGTTTACGAAGTCTCTCGTATATAAGAATAATGTTTTATATTTCAAGAATGGCTTTCTTGAAAGAGACAGTTATATTCTTGTGTTGCTCAGATCGATTGCACCTGCGAAATCTTGTATCTTCGTCCACTCACGCATCTGCTGAAGTTAGAGCAGTGGAAACAATATGCATAGAGGACACACTCGTGGAAGCAATCAATGCTGCCAACACTAGCTGATCCTGACAAACCCAATGATCATAGTCAGGGTTTGGAATTTCTTGATCATCCTTCCTCAAAACTGATGGAGGACAGGGGTATGATCCATCAACATACCCTAGGAGATTATGTCCACGTAGGACAGGAACAATCTGAGATCTCCAAGTCGAAAAATTCTGTCGAGTCAGTTTCAAAGGAAACTGAGAACCATTAATTGAAATCAAAGCCTTACCAGACATATGTGTAAGGTTGGAGATGTTTGAGCCAGAAGCCATTGGAAGAACAATAGATTTTAGGCAAACGAATAAATTGAGAAAAGGACCGAAAAAAAACCAATAGGTTTTTTGGGCTCTGATACCATAAAACGGTATGAGTGGGAATGATTTTCTATTAATTCACAAGCCAATAAATACAGCAGTTCCCTATAACAACATAACAACTACAGCTATGCAAGATAACTACAACTTCAAATAGTTACAAAAATAGTTACACAGGATAAGAGATAAAATCTGTTTGCTAGCTTCCCTATAACAACATAACAACTACAGCTATGCAAGATAACTACAACTTCAAATAGTTACAAGGATAAGAGATAAAATCTGTTTGCTAGCTGTTAGCTTAATACTATACACCCCCTGCACTAGGAGAGGAGCACTACGACAAATAACTCGCCAAATAACAGGCCAACTTTAGCAGAGGAAAAAGCAAGTAACCTAGAACGGTTCGACGTATATTTGCCTGCAGAATCCTGTACCATAACCCCTTGTCCTCTCGCAAGTACGCCAGCCTAACTTGGCCAAAAAAGCTGAATTCATTTTCCCAACATGTTTTAATACCGAGACCACCAAGCTCAGGTGACCACATATTATTGTATTATTGTAATGCAGTAAAAATATAAATCGCTAATTTTATCTTATAATAATAACTGCCAAAGAATGCTTGTCTTTTTTTTGTAAACCACTGGTATCTGAACTACATCGCCAGAGACTGTTTAATTCTGGTACGAGATTAATCACCGTTAAGGTTCTCCGCCCCTCCCTGCAGGTACGTTTAGTGGTGATCAAATTCGAAAACTCTTCTCACATGCTTAACCTGTGTTACCGTAGATTAAGAATGCTTATTTAATTACTTATTATTTGTAAGTAACTAAATTAAAATAATGGCATAAAAATTAAATTGAGAAAAAAAAAATAATTTTATTAATAATAGGTTTATAATGATAATATAGTTCAGTTAGGCTAAAATAACAAATCAGCTCTCTTAAAATCGATTACTGTTTTTAAAAAATCAGCTCTATTTAAATTGATTATTGATAGATTACTGTCAGAACAGTCGTCGGCCAAATAAATATTAACAAAGCCCAAAAAACAACTTTGCCACCGTCCTTGACAAGGGGTTTGAGCCTAGGAGAGCCTAGGAATGTAAACTTAAATATTAATAAGCCCAAAAAACAACTTTCCCACCATCTTTGACAAGGCGTTTGAGCCTACAAATGCAAACAAACTGCGCCGAACTTAAATTTACCAGATTTACTCAGCTCAAAACTCAATAAATCTTTTCTAAACTTGTGCTCAGCTCAAATTCAACTCAAATAATTTTAAACTCCAACTTAACTTAAAAGCTTGTATAAATTTAAAATAAAGTATATATAAAAATTCGATAAGTTCAATGAATTAACTTTCAAGTTGAATATCATTAGGCTTGAGTTCAGCTCATATGCTAACGAGCCGACTCGAGCTCGATTTTAGCTGAACTTTTCTCCAGCTGAACTCAAACAACTCACAAGCTGGCTCGACTCATTTATACTTCTATTGGAGCCATTGTTCACCTTCAACACCATTAATGCAGTGTCAAGGACAATGCATCAATGGAGTTTGTTTCGTTCCTGTAAATATCATTCAACCAATTGAATTCATCATTTGTAATTTTAATCAAAATTTACAATAACTATAATCCAATGAAGTACAATGCCAATTTCTCTTCAGGCCAAAACTTCTTTTCTCATATTGTACCATACTAAACAACAGGCCAAAATACTACTAGTATGCTGTTTGTCCAAAATGCAGATAACCTTCTGCCATAACACAAATAGTAGTAGTAGTAATAATAATAATAATAAATAAAAATATATATATAGATGGAGTCATATTAACAAGTGAGCATCTCTTCTCTGTGACTTGGCGACATCGACAAGGATAACCACGCCAATGAAGTCTACTGTTAGCTTCTACCTGATCTTCTGCAAAGGTCATTGTGGAACCCCCGTCTCTGATTAAAGGACGGGAATAGGCACATTACAAAGTTAACCCATCCGAAATCAACAGAAGTGATTATAATAACATCATGAGTCAGGGATTGAGGTTTGCAATCCTCTGAGACAAGTCACTGACAGACTCGTCATTGACCTCATCAATTGTCTCCTGCAAGGAAAATTAGAATGTAAATACAAGAGGCAAACAAACCACCAGGGGTTAGCGAATGTTTAGTGGTACGTAATAAAGCACAAGCAAATAAACCAATTGAATTTTTATTTCCATTACATCATATCTAAAAAGACACTATCAAAAGTCCAAAGTTTTAGACATAAGTGAAGTGAAAATCAGCAGTTGTATAAATGAAAAGAGAACAGAGTTATTAAATTGCGAGTAAACATTGCCTAAAATTAGTATAATTAAATACATAAAGAATTACTATCAACAAATAAAAGATTATTAGTAATAGCAGTAACTGTGGAAGGTTTTAGTGGTTACAAGCATGTTCTCTAACCTGTCTCTCAGAAAAAACCAGTTTCACAACACATCACTAGCAAACTATTATTCTTTTTCTTTGTTATCCATTCGAAGTATCAATATGCATCTAGAAACATTACACTGTATGGCACCCAGATTATAAATACTATTTTCAGCCAAAAGATACATAATTCTATGTCAATTTGCAATTATGGTCCGAACCACATAAATAGCCAATTTTAACATGATCTTTAGTTGAGCTGCAATTATAGCAAAACTGCAGCAGAGGGTTGCCTCATTTGTTAACTTCAGTTCAAGCTATAAATTTCAAATTCATAAAAAGTACAGGACATTCTAGGTGACTGGCCCTATTTCTTTTGTCTTAGTCAACTGATCAAAATACCATAATACATCTTAAAATCACAAAGAAACAAACATCTGAAAATAATCTCTCAGTATCATAATAAATTCTACGGTAACATGCTAAAACAATATCCTTCCTGCTACAAAATCAACGAGGGATATAGAAATCCATGAAATGCCATCTCATTTCCATAACCACTTTTGCTCCAAACAACAGTCACTAGCAGTCATATGCGCTTCTAGAAACAGTTACATAATTATTTATTATTATTTTGTGCACTTAATCACTAGAGAAATGGAAGAAGCCATATTGCCCCCTTACTTTTGATAGAAAATAAAAAATAAAACCATTTGAATTTTTTAAAATTTTCAATTTTCCCACAACAACAAATAAAATTTGACCCCCATTTTTTTACTTTTTATGAAAAATGAAAAGAGAAAATTAAGAAACGAGAAGTAAAGAAACACTCTTTTTTTTTGTATATGAGAATCGAAATATTAAATAGATAAGATAAATAAAAATAATACAGTTTTAGTAAACCTTATATGATTAATTAAATCATTTATCTTATTTTCTATTTTAATTTTCCTTTTTTGTAAATTAACTATTTCTGGCCTTAATTAGATTTGTTGGCAAAGTTATTTAAATAAAATATTAATTATTATCATGGTGCCATTACACCATAATTTGAAGACATGTATAAATATTTGAATTTCTAGATATTTTTAATGTCGAAATTCTGATTAATCAAAATACCTTAATTTGAACCTCACCACAATCTTTCAATTAAATTTTTTTTTAACCTGTTTCATTTTTAGAAAAGATAAGTTTTAGAATTCACTGAATAAAAAATTCATTCACAGGATTTTATATGAAAAATAAAGAAAAATTTCAAAAGAAAAATCCGTATGAATTGAATTATGATGCTTTAAATTATAGAGATTATAATTATGTGTGAATTCACGTGCGTGTATGTTCATGTGAACAACTTTTGCTCCTCTTGGTTGAAAATCCTACCTTCATCCCTGAACAAAGAGATGCCATATCTAATCTATTTAGTATCTCATTTTGCATGGGATTTGGCAGAAAAAACTATTTTCTGAGCAACTACAAGATCATCATTTTTCTTTTTTTTTTCTTTTTTTTTTTTTTTTTTTTTTCATTTTCTTTTTTTTTCTTTTTTTTTTTTTTTTTTTTTGAGTTTTTTTTTTTTTTTTTTTTTTTTTTTTTTTTTGAGTAGACTAAAACAAAATTTGACTTGGCCTGAAAACAGCAGCTATCACATGAGAGAATTGCAAACAAACAAATGATAATGTCACATAATATGATGTCAGTTACCTCCGATTCCGTTATTGGTTTCACACCTATACACTTAGAAGCACTGATGCTAGCACTCTTTAATAGGCTTCGTTGGTTCGGTTTGTAAGGGCTATTCTGTGTTACTGTTGTGTTTTCTGAACCATTAGCTTGCTCTGACCCTGTGGAAGCCTGTATAGTTACTGCACCAGTTTGCCTCTCAAAATCATTGTTTTGCTCAACAATCTCCTCCTTGGGAACAGGAACACGTTGCCTGAAAAAAAATTTTGGTTATGAACATTCATGTATACAACACACCAACAAACAGATTAAATGGGACTAGTTTTACATGCTGTATCGTTAATCATGACAACCAGTCATAAGGCCATGATGATTTTGGCACAAACATTGATTTGTTAGCGGAAATGTTAACTGAACCGGCTTGCTTAATGATACAGCTTCTTATCTTATTGGAAAGGAAAAAACTCAAGATTTTTGCCCAATGCATACCTAGGTAGAGAAGCATGCTGCCTTAGGAGAGGAGTGCTTCTCTCGCCTTTACCATAATGCTCCTCAAGATGTGCAAATTGCCGCTTGAACCGATCAACACCACTGAAGTTGACATTAAAGAGTAGTATCACAATATCAAGTCATTGGAATTACAATAATACATCTAAGATTCCAAAATTAAATTTATTTCTTATATCCTTTTTTTTGTTGTTGTTGCTAAATAGCTTAAATTGTTTCCTATACACTTAAGAGCGCACTTGCCAATTTTCACAAACGTTTTATTCCACTTATATTGTTCCAAGAGTCAGTGGCAGATGCAGGGTTTTGATTTAGGGGAAGCAAATATCTTTATGCTTTTTGCAAAACTGAAGCGAATTATAATTATTCATATGGGTTCATCGGTTACCAATGTCCAGTGGAATTATTCATATGGGTTCATCGGTTACCAATGTTCCTAGTGAAATTTAAAGAGTTAGACCTCTCACAACTATCAAGTCATTCGAATATACAATAATGACATTCTAAGGATTTCCAAATTAAATTTATTTCTTATATCCTTTTTCGTGTTGTGCTTGACAATAGCCTTTAAATTGTTCCTATACACTTAAATTAAAGAGTAGTATCACAATATCAAGTCATTGGAATTACAATAATACATCTAAGATTCCAAAATTAAATTTATTTCTTATATCCTTTTTTTTGTTGTTGTTGCTAAATAGCTTAAATTGTTTCCTATACACTTAAGAGCGCACTTGCCAATTTTCACAAATGTTTTATTCCACTTATATTGTTCCAAGAGTCAGTGGCAGATGCAGGGTTTTGATTTAGGGGAAGCAAATATCTTTATGCTTTTTGCAAAACTGAAGCGAATTATAATTATTCATATGGGTTCATCGGTTACCAATGTCCAGTGGATTAGTACACTAAAAATACACTTCATGTTCTCCACAACTTAACCTTTTTGGAACGAAATTCTTCACTAAGTTTTCCTTTAAATTTTCCAAAAAGAAATCACAGGAATTACAATTATTGAAGTTTTAAATAGTTACATTCAATTTACTGGACAGTTATTTTTCAATATTTTGTAGAGAGGTGAAAATAGTTTATACACAGGTGAAAATAGTTCACATAGGGAGACAGTAGCCTCCCCCTGTGCGTGACCATTGGTTAAAGTGTAACAATTTTTAAATATTCCTGTTTCCAACTGAATAACAAAAAACAATAATTCATTTGTCCATTCTCAAGAAGAAAAAGACACTAAAAGTGTCACATACCAACATCAAGAATTCTTGCATTTCAGCAGCAGCATTAGAAAGGTTCTGCGTTCAACCATGAAAACAATATTTGTGGCATCAATTTGCAAAACCATGACTTGTTTCATGATTTATTGCTTAATTGTAACCACATATCTATCATGAAGTTTAGAATTCAGATACAAGGTGGGGGTAGGGACTGAGGCCTATGCGTATTGGAACAAGATATTATTGCCTGTAAAACATTAAGATTAACTGGTAACGAATTTTTATAGATGCATTTTCAGAGTTTTTCTCACTTAGGAATATCTTTTTGTAGATTCTCATCAAATATCCCCTATTTATCTGCTGCATGTTTATTTACCAATACACGATCAATCTTACTTTTTCAGGAAAAAGGAAAAACCTTAGTCCATAATCAACTTAATCAATTTCGTGCATGTCAATGAATGGCACCATTTAACACAGATTAGCAAACTCTAAGCCCAAAACTGTGACAGAAAAATTAACTAGAAGGAGCTTATACAATTACTGATTGCTCTGAACATATCATAATCCCACCCAAGTTACAACTTCAAGTAAAATTTGAAATATATAGTAACTTTTCATGCAAACACAACAGTGTTTAGAGATTAGCATACACAATGGAAGTAAGGCTATAGACTGGCGACGTACCTTGGGTACATAAAGCTTGTCTGCTCTCCACCTCGAAGGTATTCTTGTAGCATCTGAGGATGATATTCTAATATCTTCTCACAAAAACCCAAAAGGTTATTAGTCATATAGGCGTGTCAAAGCCAAAAAACAGCATAGAAGCACATATCAAGTGCAACAGGCATACCTCTCTGTAGATCAGTTCTCTTACATCATCTTTTGCCAATTTCCTCCTCTCAAACTCAAACTCCAGCTTTGAAATAGGTTGAGTGGATGGCTCGCGTTCGACATTTGACAAACCTTGAAAATAAGTATCAGCTAATGCCTGCAATCATTTGCAATAGGGACGTTTATGAATCATAATCTTACATTTAAAAGCATAATGTTATTAAATCTTACTTACCTCTTCAGCTGTTGGACGATCTTTGGGATCAAATGCAAGCAGGCGCTCCAGTAGGCTCAGAGCCAGTGGATCTGCATTAGGGAACTTCTGTGTGAATGGAACTGGTGGTTTTTTCCTCATGCTACTAAGATACCTCCTTGCCTTTTCATTCCGAATCTGTCAATGGCATGAGGAGGAAACAAGAAAGCCAAAAAAACAAAAGTGAAATGCACATTCAAAATCATATAGAGGACAATTTACTTCAAAACACACAGGAAAAAGAAAACTTGAGGACACATTCAGTTCTGGAAAGACAAAAGAAAAAAATCAGAGAAGCATAAAATTGACAGGTTTCTATTCTGAAGCAATCATTTTCCAAATAGAAAAAATTGAAAATTACCTGACTTTCCAAATCTATATTGATGAAAAAAGACAATTAAACAAGTGTTCTTGTAGTTTCCCTTCAAAACTTTACATTCTTCATGTTTATGATTTACAAGTGCATATTCTTTTTTATGATACAATCATCAACACCACTACAACAACAATGCCACCAAACTACAGTACTAGTACCACCACTATTGGCATCATCATCACCACCAGCAATGCCCCTACTGCCATTAGAAAACCACCACACCACCATCACCACCACCAGGTAAATAGACATGCCACAATCTTTGCTGCCATGGCTCCTTCATTACCACCATAAATTTTTTTTGTCCATGCCGATTCACAGCAGGCCTAGGCCATACAATGAGAGATAGCCTTCAACTTCCTGAACCCTCACCCACCCATTTAAATCCACACTACTGGGCAGGAGTGAATTAACACAATTAGAACCAATAAACTTACATCAGTAAGTGTTACATTGTGACATTTGACCACCATTTTGGTAATCCCATGCTAAACAGGACCTATAATTGGTACTAAAAAGTTCCAGTTTCCTAACTGGAAACCAAAACTAAAAATGAGAAACAGAACACTGTTTTCTGAAACTAAATGGGCCACAGAAACAATCAGAAAGCATTTGTTTAAATTACACAATAAGCTTTAGGATTGATGATAGAGTACAAACGGCAGGAATGGGAATACTGACTCTTGCAATAGATTCTGGTGGAGGAGTTCCAAGCAAATCAGTCATCAGATCTAATTGATGCACCACATTCTTCCCAGGAAACAAAGGTTTTCCTGTAAGCATTTCAGCAAATATGCATCCTATGCTCCATATATCGATTGCAGGAGTGTACTGCAAGAGATGAATGAATTTCAAATTACATATATTTATAAAACTCCTAGAAGTCGAAGAAAATAAGTCCACAAAGAAAACTGTTCATAGAAAAAGAATTAAAGAATTTACTTTTAACAGCCTAACATTTATCAATGTGTCAAATTCCAGAAAGTGAGGGCATGAAGTGATCAAGAATGAAGGACACGTGTAATGTGACACCTAAAGAAGAATATGCATCTTAAAAACAAGATATTTGGGTAACATATCTAGATGACACCAGGTTCTAATAGTGCTGCAATGCCATGTCAATTTGCTAAACATCCAGACTAGACATCATCTTCCTGATTCAATAAATGTACCAATTAATTGAACAAAAGACACAAAAATACAGTAAAGATAGAACTTGTCAACTCCAAATATTTAATTATTGGAAAAGTTCATGTAGGAGATATAAAGATACTAGTTTAAGAAAATATCAATCTTAGAAAATATGGAAGAATTTTAAACTGTTCAAATCTAGTGATTATTGTGTCTCCCTCTATCTCTGTCTCTCTCACATACATCTTTGCATATAAGGTTCCTTGATCAATGCCAATGCCACAAGGAAAAATGAATTGGGAAAATGATTGAAAGGGGAGATAAAAATCAATGCAAAGCGATCCCATTTTAACCCAATAATCAGAAGAAACGACATGGCATCTTTTATATCTTTAAGCCATCTCAATACAGGAAGTAAAACAGAAAACAGCAAAGCAAATCTATAATATCAAACATAAAAGGCAGCTTACTTTGGAGAAAAAAGAGCCACAAAGCTCAGGAGCACGATACCACCTAGTTGCTACATAGTCCTTCATAAAATTGAAAATCAAAAGAAGTTTAGTTAGCATCTAGTGCTTTAAATGTTTACTTCCCGTAAATTGCAGTGAGATTCAACCAACAGAAACAATTATAAATAAACAAAAGAAAACGAGAGAAATGAAAACCCAATAATCAGAAGAAACGACATGGCATCTTTTATATCTTTAAGCCATCTCAATACAGGAAGTAAAACAGAAAACAGCAAAGCAAATCTATAATATCAAACATAAAAGGCAGCTTACTTTGGAGAAAAAAGAGCCACAAAGCTCAGGAGCACGATACCACCTAGTTGCTACATAGTCCTTCATAAAATTGAAAATCAAAAGAAGTTTAGTTAGCATCTAGTGCTTTAAATGTTTACTTCCCGTAAATTGCAGTGAGATTCAACCAACAGAAACAATTATAAATAAACAAAAGAAAACGAGAGAAATGAAAATAACAGTTAATGATTTTCATGAGAGAACAACATACAGTCCAAAAAATAGCTGATGGGGCATCATTAAAAGATACTCGAGCAAGCCCAAAATCACAAATCTTCAATTTGCAATCGGCGTTAGCAAGAATGTTTTTTGGCTTTAAATCTCGATGAAATACATTAGCTGCAACCAATCCAGAACACTGAATCAACCATGCGTAAAGCAATAAAAGCAAAAGGACAACAAAAAAGCACCAACCTGTATGTATATATTTCAGACCACGAAGAAGCTGGTACAAGAAAAATTGATAATGCTCAGGAGTAAGATCATCATTTGCCTTGATTACTTGGTGAAGGTCAGATTCCATCAGCTCAAAAACAACATAGATATCTCTGAATTCTCTACGTGAAGGAGGAAGCATGATATGCTTTATTTCAACAATGTCAGGATGCCTAAGCAACCGAAGTAGCTTAATTTCTCTTAAAATACGAGTGGCATCAGAAACATGCTCAAAAACATCATTAATCTTCTTGATTGCAACCCTTTCTCCAGTGTGAGCATCAATTGCTGAGCCAACAACACCATAGCTTCCTTTCCCAATCACTTCTTGTACTTGGTACCGATTTGCCTCTCCATATTCAGTGAAGAAGTCTGCTTCAGCTGAACCCTAAACAGAGAAAAGCAATTTCTGGTACTGTTAACTTCAACTGAATACTTTACAAGTAGAAACACAGAATGAAGGGGGTCAAGCACTTGTAAAGAATATGACATCGATTGTATCATCCAAGAACATCATTGGTTAGTAAACAGCCAATCATGAATGATCATTGAATGAAAGGCAAAGATAGAACCCATTCTTTAAGGCTCTGTTATTGCCAAGAAAAACTAGCCTGAGCAAATGCCCTCGAGAAAATTGAAACTTATTAATGTGCAGACAAATGAGATATTCATCGTCTAATTAATGGGTCCAGAATCACAAGTATCAATCAAATTTCTATAATTCATCAAAAGGGAAAGGAAAGAAACCATTTTAATTGCCATCCACATTAGACAACATGAACACACCAATAAAATATATTATGCATCAAATATCTAACGTCAAGATAATTATCACTAACAAAAAAGTACAGCCCACAGTTAATTGCATGATCTTATATATTTTTGGTGGAATATAATGTATTAATCTCTTCAAATGATTGAAAAATTAAAAATTCTTCCTCGAAGAGCATAATCACACCGTTTACTAAGCTTTAGGAATGAACTGCCTACAGACCTAATCTTTTTGAAATGTCATTCCTTGAAACACAATAATAAATAATGAAGTTACATCTTTTACCATCAACTCAACCGATTAATTAAATAAAACATTAGCAAACATTTTTTCCTTCACAAGTCAATATTATGGTTCAGTCCTTCAAATTTCAAAAATTTAGGTGCACTTTGGACAAAAATTTACTTAATCAAAAAGAATAAATATAAATTCATCAGTTCCATCCTGTCCTTACATTTGCCAGAATTCATCATTTTAGATTTAATTCTATTTTGACATATTTGCTAAGCACCCAAACAGAACCATTGAAAATATGAATGGGTCTCATTATATCCAATGTTGAATTATAAACAAGACGAATACTACAAATCAAAACAAAAACAAACAAATAAACATATTAAAAAAAACTCAAATTACCCATGATCTAAGTCTTAATTTTTTTTTTCTTTGAACTGGAGATGTGGGCTAATTACCTTCTTATGTTGATCCATGCCAGCTGCAGAACCAAAAGCGAAAAGGGTATTGCGCTTGGGAACTCTAATACCCTTTAATCCAGAGAAATCAAAATCCTCTATAAACATAAACTGATTTTCCTCCTGCTGATTTTCTCCCCCTTCCTTTCCTCGCCTTTCACGCTCACCGGTATCCGATGATTGTGGTTGGCCACTGATACTATTGTTGTTTTTAAAATTACTATTATTATTATTGGTATTAGTACTAGCATTATTATTATAATTAGCATTATCGTTTCCATTTATTACATAGTTATTAGGAGGAATTGAAGAAGAAGAAGAAGTTGAAGAAGAGGAGACAGTGTTGTGGCGGCGTTGAAACCAGCGACGAACACCGTCCACAAGAGCTCCGCCACCCATAAAGTCTCTGCCTTTATGATTCACAGCCACTCGAATTAAAGCATTGCCCACCCTATTTTCTCTCTGGATTTGCCAACAAATCGATCTATGATTATCTTCCGGGCTTTCTTTGTTAATTTACTGATTCTTGCATGTTTGTCTCTCTCTCAATATATTTATTATATTTATAGATTTGTTTTCATTGACATGGTCACGTTACTTTATTAGATATAGGAGAAATTATTGATCCTTGGTCTTATAGGCCCAATGCTGTACAGTGTACATATCCAATAAAAGAAAGGTAAAATTATAAATTTACCCATGTAATTTGTTATAAATTACTATTCTTTTTCTATTTAAAAATATACCCTACAATATTCCTATATTTTAGTTCTATTACAAATATTTATCCTTCCATCTATTTTATTTTATAGGTCAAACAAAAAATAGATAGTTTTTCTTTTGGTTTTTTAACCATCCCTTAGTCTCAACTCTACTAATCTAAATTCATGCGGAATAAATCCGTAAAAGTGGGAGAAAATGCTTCAAGACTCGAATTCCAAATCTCCAATTAAAGGAAAATAGATTCTTGTCACAATCACGAAAAGGTAAATACGCCATCAAGTAACAATTACATCATCATCAAATATAATGGTCCAATTCAAGTGGATTTTACAAAGAACACGAGTGTAGCTTTAACTTTTTCCGCGTTTATGCAAAATCCATAAGCAAAACCCATTGATTTCGTAAATACATCATCATCGAACGATACAAAATTGCAAGAAAGAAATATCTCACTGAATGCATTTTCCAACTGTCGTTTCGTGACTGTGAGTCTAAAAACGACAGCCAATCCTTTCATGACCTGGAGCAGCTCAAGCCAATCATTGCGTGTTTTTAACATTTAGACTCTGTTTGTTTTTGTAAAATAATTTATAGGAAAATATTTTCAATAATTTTTTATTATTTGGCACATCAAAAAAAAATAAGTTAATAGAAATTATTTTGCTAGTAAAAGAAAAATTAAGTCATTTTTAAAGAAAATAATTTCCTATTTTCAATAGCTTAAAATATTTTTCGCAATTAACAAACTTATTATAACATTATAAATTCATATTTTTTAATTTATTAATCATCGGTAGTCACTACCATCAGTCATCACTCACTATTGGCCATCACCATCAGCATCGATCACCGACAACTTTTATAATTTACTATTTTTTATTCTTTTTATATTTAATAAGAAAATTTTTAAAAATATAAAATTTCTATTATTATTATTATGATCTTATAAATTAAAATTTTTCATATTTTTAATTAATTTTTAATATTATAATTAAACAACAAAAAAATAAGTTATGTAGAAAATATTTTATTTGTAAACGGTAAGTTTCCAAGACTGTGTTAACTGTATGGATCTTGGTTTCACCTAGTCCGTCTCGATTGATGGACAACGACCACTTCTCAATTTTAATTTATTTTCCCGTGATGTTGATTTGATGGCTGTAAGTCCAATTTTAATACGTCTATAGATCTCACCAAGACATATGCTGGCAGGCGTTGCTGTTTCGAGGCTGAAGGTATTATGGTCGGTCCAATTGCTGCGGCTGATGAGATAGCTATACCAAGGCAAGGAATTAGAAAGTTTACTATGGACATTAAAGAAAATGGAGCGAGAGAGAAACTAGTATAATTCAGCGAAACACAGAGATACAGTAGTGTATTTTTTAAAATAGAAAAATAGAGTAATAATTTACGATAACCTATATAGATAAAATTATAACTTTACTAAAATAAATGTTGCATTTATTAAAATAAATAAATTGTATTCGCAATACCTCGAGTAGATTATTTTTTATTGTTGTCTTACTAATGAATGATACTCTCGATAATACCGATAAAGAAAATGAAAAAAATACGGAGAATCATTTTTTTCATATCAGATTGACTTTATAAATATAAAATGTAAAATCATGAGTTTAAAAAATACAATAAATAAAGAAAAAATGAAATTTTAATTATTATTCTTCTACTTTTCTCCTAAATCGGAGAGAATAATATATGGGCTCTATATAATTTCTCCTTATATAATTTATTTCCTTTTTTTATTTTATTCATTTTTCTTTTTAATTTTCATTCTTTCTATGTTTTTCACCAATCCAAATATAGCATACTCTCACTGTTGATTTTTCACCAATCCAAAATCATTTACATTTATCTCACAGGTTGGCAAAATAAATGTTATGAGTATTGAAGTTAACAATTATTTTGAACTTAATAATAATACAAAATAACCATGAACAAAATTAACATAAAATCTTAAACGGGTACCATGAATAATAATGCATAAAATTTTAAACTATCCAAATTTAAACTTATTTAAAATACATTTTTTACTAATAATGGATGAGTACCTATTACCGAACTCATTCAATATAGCAGTTAACGGGTAGTGGGTATCCAAAGATCTATACTTATACCCTACCCATATTTGTTATGGGTAATAATTTTACTACTCATATCCGTTACGGCTAATAATTTCATTATTCATATTTATTTCAAACTCATTTACTACTACTCATATTCTCTTTAAATAGATCGGAGCCGAGCGAGTATCCTAAAATACTCGTACCGCTTCCATCCTTACTCCTCAATGTGTAAAATAATGTATTAATTATTAGATTAGTTTCAAATTAACTCGTTTGTTGAGAATTTGATATTTTGACAAAAAATAATATTAATACTGTTGCAAATTTTTTCAAAAAATTAATTTGATTATTTTCTAAAATTTTTATGGGTTGATTTCAATTAAATTATGATTTAATCAAATAAAAAATTGAAAAAAAGATTTGAAATAGTCGAAGAACTAAAGAATACAATAATGTAATTATTATTAGAATTGTATTAATCAATTACTCGAATTTGTTGAGAATTGACTTAGATTTTGACACAAAATATAATATTTGAATACTAGTTGTGCAACTTTTTTTCAAAAAATTGAATTCTGCATATATTTCTTATACATATTCTAGGGGTGATTATCAATATCCATAAAATTTTTATGGGTTGATTTCAATTAAATTATGATTTAATCAAATAAAAAATTGAAAAAAAGATTTGAAATAGTCGAAGAACTAAAGAATACAGTTTGCCATTATTGTGGCCAGACCGTTAGGCTCTGTGAGTCGCAAGTGGTGGGATATGCATCAGGCCTATCATGATGTGCGCCGCCTCCTTGCGCGAGCTCCGGCAGCTGGCACAAGTTTTGGCTAATGGTGATTACGGATTTTTCAATTTTCAATATATATATATATATATATATATAAACGTGCGATTTATATATAAACGTGCGATTTCCAATGAGACGATTGCCTTTCAATAAATGGAAGAGAAATTTATAGTCTTCTGACGACATTGCGACTGTTCTAGGAATACGAGATGGCCGCTGAGGTCGTTGGCCATTGCAGTCGTTTCACTATTGATAGCGATAAAGTTTTAACTAAGAAAAAACGATTTTGGAGAAGATGATGTATTTTACTTTTTGGTCCCGCATTGTTTTTCAATTTTTAAATTAGACTCCAAAACTTTTTAATTTATTCAATTAGATCCTAAAATTAATTTTGATTAGATATATAAAATTATTGTATTTTATCAAAGTCAATCAAAATCTTAAAAAAAAAAAAGTCTCATAAATTACATAAAATTCAATGTAGAATTCCAGTGAAATATGTGAAAATCTTAGGAAATTCTTCAATTATGTCAAACTTAACAATTCTTTTAAAATCGAACACAATTTTTATTCAGTATAACCCCATAAAATTAGTAGTATTATTTATGAGAACTGTAACGTCCCATTTTCTATTGAATCGAGTTGATGCTTAGAGTCGAGTCGGGCTGATCTAAAACCCGGTTCGAGCCATTAGAGTCTGATCTAAAAACCCGGTTGTCGAGCATGTGTAGAGTCTAGAGTGGGCTAGAATGAAATAATAGGAGAAGAAAATTAAATAAATCAAAGACTTGGACTTAATTGAAAGATGTAGACTCAATTGAAATAAAAGTATAAGGATTAGGACTTACTTGCACTAAAATATAAAACTTAGGTATTAAGTTGTAACCTATTGACAATTGAGGTACCATTTGGAAATTTTACACATAAAATCAATGATATTTTGGAGCCTATCTGAGATTTCCATTTTACTTTCCCTTCTTCATCTTTATCTCCATCTCCTTCATCTGCTTTACTCACCTTCTTTTCTCCATCTTCTTCATCTTTTATCTCCATCAATTTTAATGGTATTCAAGCATTAAATTCAACTTCTATTCTATCCAAGTAAGTAGAATTTCTTGAATTTCATAATTTAGTCATTGAGTGATATTTTAGATGATTCATAAGATGTTATTATGGTGTAGGAGAGGTTGATCTCAATGTGTAGTAAGGAAGCTAAGTAAGAAGATTCCAAGCTTCTGTTGAGTGAGAGGTTGCGTGCTATCTCCTTTTAGTTTAATTCATCTTCCTTGCGATTTAATTTGCTTGTTGATGTTTTGAATGAGGAGAATATTGTTGCTTAATATTGAGGTAAAGAAGACTAAAAATGAGTGAAAAATAGCATGAGATGAAATGAATAATATGAAGTAGAATTTGAGTTCATGCTGAAGACAAGTTTTGCTGGGCAAAAGTTACCAGTAAATTTCACCTTTGGATTTTTACCCTATTTAACCCATGGAATTTAGGAAGTGTCATAGAAATAGTTATTTTTATTCCTCTAGTGTTAGGGTGTTATCATTGGGTGTTCTTAGATATTACCCAAATCGGAGTTGTATATTGAGAGATATGACCAAAAGATGTACAGACTGCGCAGACTGGGAAAACACGTGTCGCCGTAGCGCTCTTCGAGAATTTCATTTGCACGCTCCGCGGAATTGTCTTGCGAAACTCTCTGACTCTCATTTTGCACTTCTCGCAGTCTCCGCCCGGGAACCTTTGCATTGACGCTGCTCCGCGAAATTGTTGTTCTGGAGCTCTTTTGGACTTTCATTTTCAATGCAAAATTGTGATTCCTTGCTCAACTTGTTATGCCTCTAATTCATTTTAAAACAAAAAAACACAACAATTTTACAACAAAAATACAACATTAAATCATGTATCAAAGCAACATGCAAGCATGTAAATGATGTGAAATGAGGTAAACACAATTTGTAATTATATTCTATGCAATTGTGAAATGATGTGAAATGGTGTATGAAGTTATGA